TTTTTTTTTTTTTTTGGTACCAGGGATTGAACTCAGGACCTTGCATTTACTCGGCAGGCAGCAGAACCACTGAGCTAAATCCCGGGCCCTGGCCCCTATGTCTTTTACTTTTAATTTGCACCATTTCCTTTGATGGTTTGGAAAATAATGGAGGGAGAAGTATCACTGTCTATCTGGTTGCTCATATAGTAGCATCAGACCATACACTAGCATTACCCAAGTGTGTGTGACCCAGGTAGAGACAGTGACAATGTGCCATGGCAAGTAATTTCTAAGAAGACAGAAGGCCTGGTCTTCATTTGGTTACCTTGTCTGTAAAATGAATGAGAGATGGGAGACTTCCCTATACAAGGGGTTTTCCTGGGCAGCTTTCCAGAATCGTTGATGGTGTTTGTCATTCCCCCCCCCTCTTTCTAAGAAATTAAAAACAAACACCCAAAACAAATGTTTTCGCTTCATCTTAGAGCTACTGAATTAATCCCCTAGAGTTTGGGGCACAGATCTATATTTTTATGATCCACCCAACTGATTGTATGTGATGCCAGCAGACCACAGGTTTTGTTGATCTCTATTGTTTCTTATCAGGTAGTACACAAGAACAAACTATCTTGCGTACTAAGATATTAGCTACTGCCCTTTATGTATATGTCCTTTACATACCAAGTCTTAAAAAAAATCTTATTGAAAAATGCTGGAAAATAGCTACAAAATCAGATGAAATATTTTTATGTAAGAAAAAGCAAGAATGGGAAAATATGGGTAACTGTTGAAGCTGGGAGTGGGTATTTAATGTTGTATTATACTGTTCTCTATGTTGTTGAATATATTTGAAAATTTCCATAGTGGTTGAAAAAAATCTGTAGCATAGTAAAATTCATCTTTTGTTACCAAAAAATTTTTTTCCTGATGATAATCATTTTAAACTGTGATGGTAGCCATTTGAAAGTACTACTATTTATTTAATAAGTAATTGTTTATTTCATTTCTTTTAGGCAAAGATTGAAAGTGTGCAGAAAACAGGTTTCATCAAAGGACCAATGTTCAAAGGTGTTGCTTCTAGTCGATTTTTGCCCAAAGGCACCAAGACAAAAGTTAATTTGGAGGAACAAGGACGACAGAAGGTGTCATTCAGCTTCAGCCTTACAAAAAAAACTTTGCAGAATAGGTTTCTTACCGCACTTGGCAATGAAAAACAAAATGATACTCCAAACTCCCCTGCTTTATCTCAAGGAGACTCAACTCCTAAAATTAAAGTGGACATTGGAGATACCTTAGCTACTACAGAAGAATCTTCCCCACCAAAATCAAGAGTGGAATTGGGCAAAATTCATTTTAAAAAACATCTGCTTCATGTGACTTCCAGGCCACTGCTGGCTACTACCTCAGCAGTAGCATCTCCATCTCCTCCCCCAGTACAGTTACCAGCAGTCATACCAGAATCAACAACTATAGACTCACCACCTTCATCTCCACCTCCACCACCTCCACCTCCCCAAGCCACAACACCCTCATCACCAGCACCAATAACAGAGCCAGTGGCCTCACCACACACACCAGTAACAGTTCTCACGACAGCACCACTATCCTTACCAGTAGATGTAGCAGTTAGAACTCTGAAAGAACCACCAGTTACACTTGTAAAAGAGTCTTTAGAAGTGGATACTAAGCAGGACATTATATCTAACAATTCAGAAGAACACATAACTCACAATCTGAATGATCAAGTAGATAGTCCTTCACCAAAAGAAGATTCCCATATTGGGAAGGAAGAAGATATTCCAGATAGTTCTAAGATTAGTCTGAGCTCTAAAAAACCGGTTTCTAAGAAGAAATATTCACAATTTGAAGGCTCATTTTTTGGCTCAGAATCTGATGAAGATTCTGTAAGGACTTCCTCCAGTCAAAGATCACATGATTTAAAAATTTCAGCAAGCATTGAAAAGGAAAGAGATATTAAAAAGAGCTCAGCGCCTTTAAAAAGTGAAGATTTAGGAAAATCTTCAAGGTCTAAAACAGAAAGAGAAGATAAATATTTTAGCTACTCAAAACTTGAAAGAGATACTCGGTATGTATCTTCCCGATGTAGATCAGAAAGAGAGCGAAGGCGGAGCAGATCTCGTTCCAGATCTGACAGGGGGTCTAGAGCTAGCCTATCCTATTCCCGGTCAGAACGATCTCATTATTATGACTCTGATCGACGCTACCATAGGAGTTCCCCTTATCGAGAGAGGACACGCTATTCTCGGCCATATACAGATAACAGGGGACGAGAGAGTTCCGACTCTGAAGATGAATATAAGAAGACATACTCAAGGCGCACCTCGTCTCATTCCTCCTCTTACAGAGACCTGAGAACATCATCCTATTCTAAATCTGATCGGGACTGCAAAACTGAGACCTCTTACTTAGACATAGAGAGAAGAGGAAAGTATTCTTCCAAACTAGAGAGAGAATCCAAAAGGACTTCAGAAAATGAAGCAATAAAAAGATGTTGTTCTCCTCCTAGTGATCTGGGATTCCGATGGGGGTCCTCATATTCTAAGCACGATTATAGTGCTTCCCGCTACAAATCTGCCCTTTCAAAGTCCATACCCAAGTCTGACAAATTTAAAAATTCTTTCTGTTGTACAGAATTAAATGAGGAAAGCAAACAGTCTCATTCTTCTAGTTTACAGACTCCTTGTTCAAAAGGTAGTGAGTTAAGAACTGTTAGTAAAATTCCTGAAAGAGAAAAGACTGGGTCTCCATCTGCATCAAATCGGTTAAATGATTCACCTACTTTTAAAAAGCTAGATGAATCACCTATTTTTAAGTCAGAATTTATAGGACGTGATAGCCATGATAGTATTAAAGAATTGGACTCTTTATCTAAAGTGAAGAATGATAAATTAAAAAACTTTTGTCCCATTGAATTAAATATAAACGGATCTCCTGGGGCAGAATCTGATGTGACAACATTTTGCACTTCTAAAACTGATGCTGTTTTGATGACATCTGATGATAGTGTGACTGGATCAGAGGTATCTCCTTTGGTCAAAGCATGCATATCTTCATCAAATGGATTTCAGAGTATTAGTAGGTGCAAGGAAAAAGACTTGGACACTTGCATGCAGCATAGTAAGTCACAAAGTCCATTTAAAGAAACAGAACCTTTGGTGTCACCATGCAGTGATAATATGTCTTTGCCAGTTATGACTACAGATTATTCTAAAACAGAAAAAGAGCCAGTTGATATGAGAGTTTCTTGCTGTAAAACCAAAGATTCAGATAGATATTGTACTGCAAATGAGAGTAACCCTTCTTTGTGTTATTCTGAAGCTGAAACTGTTGAGCCTTCAGTTACGAAGATTTCTTCAAATAGCTTTAAGAATGTACATTTGGAATCAAAAACAGTTGTATGTGATAAGAGAAATCTGACAGATCAGCACTCAAAATTTACATGTGAAGAGTATAAACAGAGTGTTGGTAGCACTAGTTCAGCTTCTGTTAATCATTTGGATGATTTATATGAACCTATTGGGAGTTCAAGTATTGGTTCATCTCTTCAGAGTCTTCCACCAGGAATAAAAGTGGACAGTTTGACTCTCTTGCCATGTGGTGAGAACACATCTCCAGTTCTGGATGGAGTGCTGAAGAGTAAAAAGAGCACAGAGGTTTTAAAGCATACAGGGAAAGAAAAAATAGTAGACGTAGGTAGTGGCTTTTCTAATTCAGGAAAGGCATTTGCCTCTTGGGAAAACAGGCATAATAATGGGCTATCTGGGAAATGTTTGCAAGAGGCTCAAGAAGAAGGGAATTCCATATTGCCTGATAGAAGAGGAAGACCAGAGATCTCTTTAGATGAAGGAGTAAGGGGGCATGCACATACATCTGATGACTCAGAAGTTGTACTTTCTTCTTGTGATTTGAATTTAACTGTGGAAGATGATGGTGTAACTTACACCTTAAAATGTGATAGTAGTGGTCATGCCCCTGAAATTGTGTCTACTGTCCATGAAGATTATTCTGGTTCCTCTGAAAGTTCAAGTGATGAAAGTGATTCAGAAGATACAGATTCTGATGACAGCAGTATTCCAAGAAACCGTCTCCAATCTGTTGTGGTTGTGCCAAAGAATTCTACTTTGCCTATGGAAGAAACAAGTCCATGTTCTTCCCGGAGCAGTCAAAGTTATAAGCATTATTCCGACCACTGGGAAGATGAGAGATTAGAGTTAAGGAGGTATTCATATGAGGAAAAATTTGAGAATATAACAAGTAAAGGCTGTCCTCAAACTGAAAAGTTCTTTTTTCATAAAGGTACAGAGAAGAATCCAGAAATTTCTTTTATACAATCCAGCAGAAAACAAGTAGATAACCACCTGCCTGAAATTGCCCATTCTCAGAGTGATGGTGTTGATAGTACAAGTCATACAGATATGAAATCTGACCTTCTGGGTCACTCAAATTCAGAAGAAATAACAAAAGCCAAAACATCCTTTAGGCAACAAGATGAGCTACCAGTTTATTCTGATGATTTTGAAGATATCCCAAGTAAATCTCGGCAACAGACCACTTTCCCTAACAGGCCAGATAGTAGACTTGGAAAAACAGAGTTGAATTTTTCTTCTTGTGATATCTCATGCATGGATGGCTTGCACTCATCAGAAGAGCTCAGAAACCTAGGGTGGAACTTCTCTCAACAAGAAAAGCCTACTACCACATATCAGCAACCTGACAGCAGTTATGGAGTCTGTGGTGCACACAGGTATCAGCAAAGTGCAGAACAATATGGTGGGAACCGTAATTACTGGCAAGGCAATGGCTACTGGGATCCAAGATCAGCAGGTAGACCTCCTGGATCTGGGGTCGCTTATGACCGAATTCAAGGGCAGGTTCCAGATTCCTTAACAGATGATCGTGAAGAGGAAGAGAATTGGGATCAACGGGGTGAATCTCACTTTTTAAGCCAGTCTAATAAATTTCTTCTGTCCCTTCAGAAGGACAAGGGGTCGGTGCAAGCACCTGAAATAAGCAGCAATTCCGTTAGGGACTCTTTAGCTGTAAATGAAAGAAAAGACTTTTCAAAAAACCTAGAAAAAAGTGATATTAAAGATCGAGGGCCTCTTAAAAAAAGGAGGCAGGAATTGGAAAGTGATTCTGAAAGTGATGGTGAGCTTCAGGATAGAAAGAAAGTTAGAGTGGATATAGAACAGGGAGGGACCTCAGTGCCCCCAGGTTCAGAGCTGATTGGGCCTTCCTGTGTCATGGATGACTTCAGAGACCCACAGCGATGGAAGGAATGTGCCAAGCAGGGGAAGATGCCTTGTTACTTTGATCTTATTGAAGAAAATGTTTATTTAACAGAAAGGTGAGCCTACTTAATGTTTGTCAAGCAAGTTTCAGCTTTCTTTTTTTAAAATGTTAGCTTTTCCAAACTTCAGATGGACATAGTGTTCTGTGATAAAATGGAAACTTAAAGTATTGTTGACTATTTGGATGTAATAGTATAATTTCTTGTCCTTTTTTTTTGGTACTGGGGATCGACCTCAGGACCTTGCATTTGCAAAGCAGGCACAGTGCCACTGAGCTAAATCCCCAGCCCTAGTATAGATTTCTTTCTCCAGATTTTTTTTATTCCTCTCCCAAGAATGGGGATGTTTTAATTTTTTCCTCTCATTACTTTGATTCTAAAAGTATTTTAGGCGAGCTCAGATTTTCTTTAATTTCTTTTTAATGTAGAAGTATGGCTGAAAGTGAAATTAAACTACAGCAAAATAGCCTGTTCTGAGTGAAAGAAAAAATGGTTAGATTGAATTTGTTTCCTTTTTCCAAATGTGCACAATGAAATATCTTTATGTATTTTTATAAAACAACTAGATTACAATAGAATTTTTTGTCAGTTGTTTTAATGTGTTTTTTTTGTTTGCTTTTAGTACCGGGGATCGAACTCAGGACCTTGCGCTTGTGAGGCAGGCGGTGGCACCACTGAGCTAAATCCCCGGCCCAATGTATTCTTAATAGATTAAATTTGATAATAGTGTAAACATTTTAGAAATGGTAAAATGATTGGAGATGTAGCTCAGCCGTGTAGTGCCTACTTGGCAAGCATGAGGCCCTGAGTTTGATTCCCAGTAACAACAAAAAAAAGAAATTATCAGAAATGGTAAAATGATTATCAAAAATCTAATGTGAAGGAAGGTGTGAAAGTATGGGTAATAAAAACAGTCTTCTAGAGCAGAGCTTCTCAGTTTATAAAACTTAGAGCCCTTAATAATCCTATTTTCTCCATACAGATGTATGTTGATTTTGATCTATGTGTATATGTATTATATATGTGTGTTTATATATACTTTCCTACCTACCCATTCTCTCCTCTTGGAAATTTTCCTCCAAGTTGAGAATCAACCTGTCATTCTTTTAAACATATTCAAAATTTTGTTAAGTCAAAGAAATTTTTGACTATGTAGATAATGTAAAAGATTTCATGTACAGTTAGGTCCCACCAGAAATTTTTTTCTATTAAATAGTTTTTTCTGTTGTAGAGAGCCTGTTCAGCTATGTTCATGTACACCTAGTTGTAAATTAGGTTTTGGTCGAAAATATTTGGTATCTCAAGCAGTGTCTTTCAGGAATTATCGGAGTAGGTTGATGGAATTTATAGCATCTTTGTAAAAGAATGTAAAGGGTGGGGGCCGGGGATGCAGCTCAGTGGTTACACCGCCTGCCTCACAAGCTCAAGGTCCTGAGTTCCATCCCTGGTACCAAAAAAAAAAAAGGAACGTAAAGGGTGTTTTATATGCTAGGCATTTAGGAACTGCCAACAAATTCTTGTGAAATAGTATGAGTGTAATGAAAAAAATAAATCTTAACATCTAATGAAAATACTTATTGCAAAAATCTGTGCCTGTTCACCAAATCAGGCTTTCTAAAGCAATACAAAATAAATCTGAGTCATCAGAACTACAGCTCCTTTTTAAGTACTTACAAATGCATATTTTCTTCATCTTTAGGTTAAGTATACTCATACATCAATTAGTGAATTGTGTCTTTAGTTGATCCAGAGGAATAATTTTTTTTACCTAAATTTAGTTGAAACAATCACAATATTCCTTAGGTACTTTATAAAATGAACTAGAATAGAACAGGTGTTAAAGATCAAAGTAGATTAGAGGTAGGAAATTATGATAGCTACTTATGAAAAATAGCTGTGTTCTTCACTGCCTGATAGTTAGTTTCCTAATCTCAAGCAGATCTTTTTTGATCATCCTTGATTTTCTTTTTAAAATTTTGACCAATGTTAAAAAATAGATTACAATAACCTGTAATCTCTCCACTCAGGAGACTGAGGCAGGAGGATTGCCACAAGTTTGAGGCCAGCCTGGGTACATAGTGAGTTTAAGGGCAGCCTGAACTGCCTAGCACGACCCTGTCTCAACAAAAAAATAGACCACAACAAAAATGCCAATATTCACATGTTCACTTTTGCTTTACAATCCCTAGCATAGTTTTTTATGATTCCAAACAAATTTGAACAGTTTTCTTTCTTTTTTTGATGCTGGGGATCAAACTCAGGACTTTGCGTTTATGAGGCAGGCGGCGGAGCCACTAAGCTAAATCCCTGGTGTGAACAGTTTTCTTTCTGCTCTAGAAGTTTGTCTGGCATTGAGAAAGTTTTGCCTCTAAAATCTTTGATTATTCTTTTTTTTTTGGTACTGGGGAATTGAACTCGGGTCCTTGCGCTTGTGCAGCAGGCGGAGAAACCACTGAGCTAAATCCCCGGCCTCTTTGAGTATTCTTTTAAATTTTCATTCATTCATTCCAAATGAGGTCTTTCTTGTTCTGTTTCCCATACTGGCCTTAAACTCCTGAGCTCTAGTGATTCTCCTACCTTAGCCTCCCAAGTAATTTGGACTGCAGGCCTGTGCCACTGCACCCTCCTCTGTCCGATTGTTTGATAATCATATTTTATTTTTAAAAAAATCATTGTTTTCTGTTAAACAGATTTATGCAAGTATGACAATACTAATGGATTCTCTGAAAAATGTGGTTGAATTAAACTCTTAAAGCTCTTAGTTAAAAATTCTTTTTTTTTTTTGGTACTGGGGATTGAACTCGGGTCCTTGCGTTTGCGCAGCAGGCAGAGAAACCACTGAGCTAAATCCCCGGCTCTAAAAATTCTTATTTAGCAACTTCTGTTTTCCTCGGCTTTATACTTCAACAATTATTTGTTCTCCATGAAGTCTCAATTTTCTATTTTTTAAGTGCTGGGGATTGGATCCAGAGCCTTTGCACTGAGCTGCATCCCTAGTGTGCCCTCTCATCCCTGCCCCTTTATTTGCAGATGGGTTTTGCTAAGTTGCCTAAGCTGGGCTCAAACATGTGATCTTCCTGCCTCAGTCTCCCAGAGTGCTGGGATCACAGGCATGTGCCACCATGACTGGCCTGATTCTTAAACCGTAACCATATATGTCATTATTTGAAACTTGTGAGCTCAATGTGACTTTTTTTTTGGTACTGGGGATCAAACTCGCTCGTGTCCTTGCACTTGCACAGCAGTTGGCGAAACCACTGAGCTAAATCCCTGGCTCAGTATGACTTGACGCTTCAAACTGCCCAGAATCTGGAACTTAGCTGACCTGAACTAGGAAAGAAGGGTGATAGATTTAAACTCATTCTATCCTCCTATCTGCCAAGGTTAGGGTTGCATCTGTTATTTTTTTGCCATGACGTTCTTAAAGTTTGTAGTCTTATGATGTGAGTGATTAGATGTTTTCTTGTTTTTGAATGATGTATGTATGGGAATCATAAAATGTAGAATTAATATGTGTTAAATCATTAATTTTACATTTACCAATGTTCAATATTATATAATTTATATAGTGTTAAGTGTTCATTATAACAATGTTAAATAATGTCATTAATTTAATATCTCATAAGTAAATATATATATGTCATCTCCTGGAAATTTATTTAATAATTTTTAATGAAATTTTACTCAACAGAAAGAAGAATAAATCCCACCGGGACATTAAGCGAATGCAATGTGAGTGTACACCTCTTTCCAAAGATGAAAGAGCTCAAGGTGAAATAGCATGTGGGGAAGATTGTCTTAATCGTCTCCTCATGATTGAATGGTAAGTAAATTAAAATGCTCTACTTTTAATCAACTCTTCTAGTAAATGTTTGTAAATATTAACAATTGTGAATGAGTAAAATTTAACCTTTTTCCCACTTATAGTTGAATATTCTTTTTTTCTTTTTGGTACTGGGGATCGAACTTGGGTCCTTCCGCTTGTGAGGCAGGTGGCACTTATAGATGAATATTCATGAGCAATAAAATCTCCAGTGTATAATAGAAAACATTAATAAAGATAAATCTCCCAGGCTGGGGATTTAGCTCAGTGGTTTCACTGCCTGCTGTGCAAGTGCAAGGACCCGAGTTCGATCCCCAGTACCAAAAAAAAGATAAATTTCCCATGTATATTATATCATAGTATCTGGCACATTTTAAGTGCTTTATGGAGTTCTATTACTAATGCTAATATAATAATACTAATTTTTATTTAGTCCCCCCTTTTTTTCGCTTGTAGTATTTGTGTTGTAGGAAGTAAATGTTGGTATTTAGCTTTCACCATAAAACGAGAGGAAACCCTAACATTTCAAAAATGTATAAAGATGAAATGGGGCTGAGGATTTAGCTCAGTGGTTCCAGTCCCTACCTTGCAAGCGCAAGGTCCCGAGTTTGATCCCCGGTACCAAAAAAACCAAAAAAAACCCCAAAATGAAATGTCATCTCCCAAACCTCAATCCTTTTTTTTTGGTACCGGGGATCGAACTCGGGTCCTTGTGCTTGTGCAAAACCTCAATCCTTTTAATGCCTGTGCTAACATAGGTAGATATTTTCCTCTTTTTCATGTTGTATGTACTTTCTTGAATTTGCTAATCAGAGCTATACATACCTACTAAATTAATTATTTAGGTTTTTTTTTTTTTTTTTAATT